TTGCACCATCTCAATAGAGCATGAGCTGGCCCAGACTGTGGACCTTCAGCAGGAAGCAGTTCAAATCTTTGCATCCAAGAAGGCATGGAAAGTACCACTTTGATTATTCAAACAGATAAAAATGCTAGTGTTTACTATGCAGACAAGAAAAGTTACATTTGCTGTTCAGGCGTTTGAAAGTTAAGTGTTACTTAAAATTTTTGAACAAGGCATTTTAAGTTGTTAGTTCTCCTTTATTGGGGTAGGTAGCAGAGCAGTACCATGAGAGGAGTAGAACAGGAAGAACGCAGAATTGAGACCTTTCAAAGTTTTGGCCCAAGTGAGGGGGCATGAGGGTGTCATTTGAGCTCCCCACCTCAGGTGCCAAAATGTTGTGGGCCGGCCCTGGCAGCTTGACTGGAATGCAGAGGTTGGGGAGCTGAGCATTGGGCTTTTGGGGAATGTTGGGAGAGTTTGGGACATGAAGCCAAAGGCAGGTAGGGAAGATTGGCACATGCTGAGGTGGTGGAGGAAGGGAGCTTAAATGAGAAGCCGGAAGTTGGGGGCGAAAGAGTGGATCAAAGACAGGCCAGAGCAGACAGGAGGTTTTGTAATCATTAGAGTACACTCCTCTCAGAACATGGATTGGAACCCAGGATTCCTGAGTCTCACCATTCCTCTGAATTCTGCCAATAAGGAAATGCCGTGGCAAAATATCTGCCTCATCCCCCTCTAATAGTTGGATGACACACTACTGCATTCAGTTAGTTACTCTGTTAGCACAAGTGGCAAAGATCTGTGCTCTGGCTCTACAGGTTACAGTGCTACTGATAACCTCTGTATGCATCAGTATGGTTCCATACGATGGAATTCTGTTTTTTTTCAGTTTGCTGTTTTAAAATCCTAGGAAGTTATACACAACAAACCTTCATTAAAAGAACATTCAGCCTCCTTGTGCAGATGCATTGTAATAAAGTAGTAATTTACATTAGCACAATTTTTCCATAGGACCCCAGCCTTATTTAGTGCACAGGATGCCAATAAGAAACGCTCACGAGATGAATCAAGGTAGTATAGTGAAGGTAGTGCCTCATCTGTTGCAGACTTTGGAAGATGTTTAGTAAATAAAAGGCTATCGCAATGCATATGCACAAAGTAGCTGAATTAAGGTTGCAGGGCAACCTTAAGACTGGCATTTGCTAATTTTTGAGTTCTTGACTTTGCAACCTTAACATTGTTTGTATAGTTTTTTGATATATAATTATTTGTTTGAAGAAAGTGACAATATAGTGTGCAGGAATTTGCATGTTTTACAGTCACTGATGTCTACTTAAAGTCAGTCAACTCCACAGTAACTCTGCTCCGACTTGTGGAGGCACTTCCATTTCAGAAGGACTGATTAAAATATTTTAATTTACTTTCTTTACTGCTGTATCTGGATGTGATACTTTACATTCACCTTACAATATATAAAGTTATAGTAATAAAATAATTTACAGATGCCTTGTGTCTTCATGCTCCTACCTCATTTATACTGAAGTTTGTAAACTAGGCATGAAGGGTGGGATCCACAAAGATACTTAGGTGCCTAGGTCCCATTTTTAGACACCACTGTGATCCACAGAACTTCCGCTTCACTGCTGCTTAACCTAAAATCGCTGAGTGCTGTAGTTTTCGCAGTAATAGTTCCCTAGGCAACTATGTTTCAGCCTCTGAGCATACACACTGCTACCTCACTCCAGGTACACCAATGCCTATACCCCACCTAAGTGCCTGTGAGATTTACAGACCGGTAAATAGATGTTCAGCTCCCTAAGTCACATGCATGCCCTGATCCAATGGGAGGGGGGTGGGGGGAGAAAAGGAGAAGAACCTTTCTAATCTTTAGCCTAGTGGTTAGGGTACATACCTGGGAAGCAGGAGACCCCTAGCTCAAGTCTCCCTCTGCTGAGGAGGGATCTACTCCCTCTCAGGTGAGTGATTTAACCACTAGGCTACAGAGTATTCTGAGAGGGGCTTCCTCAAGCTCTCCTATTGAAGTTGTTCCACTTTAATTAAATAATAGGGCCAGAGAGTTAGACCAACTCTATATTCTAATGGTTAGGGCATTCACCAGAGAGGTGGCACATCCCTGTTCAGATCCCTTCTCATCAGACAGAGCGGGGACTTCAACTAGGAGGGTTTCCCATATCCCAAGAGAGTACCCTAGCCATGACAAAAAAGGTTTTAAGGGAGCTCCACCTTCCCCCTGGCTGTTTTGTCTAGAATGAGATGGCATCTGATTGGGCCCCACACACAACTTCAGTAGTCAGTGCCCATCTTCCTCTGGTTTGTGAATCACAAGCAGCCTGGACTTAGATGCCAGACTGACTCAGGGGTGGGGCTTATTACTCTTCTCAGCATCATCTTCTATTAGCTAGTTTAGGCAGCTCATCTGAGATGCTGGCTTCGTAGATCCCATTCTAAGGCACCTCTCTCTCCCATTTGTTCTATAGGAAGCCTAGGTACCTATCACAGCCTTTGTGGATCACAGTATTTCTGTGATTTTCTAACCTAAATCCCCTTTGTGGATCCAGGGCAAAGATCCCAAAGAGCGAGACATCTTGAAAAACATGAGTTCCAGGTGTCCAGCATCCCTTGCTATTTATCTCTGCCAATACCATGATGCACAGGAACAGTAAGTTGACTTTTCCATTTTTTTTTCATACCACCAAAAAAGAACTGATTTCTGGATTTTTCATTGTGAACATAATACAGGGATTGCAACCAACCACATTTTATAGCAGTCAAAATTAGTCACACAGCAAATGGTCTGCATCCTTTCATTCTTGAAGTCAACATGTAACAAACCCTTTGATTTGATTCCTGAAAGAAAATTGATTCACAGATGCAGTTCAAACTATTTTTTTTACCGATTTTGCAGATCTCATTGAAGTGGATATAAAGTTAAGATTTTATTTTCTCAAGAGTGATATTTTCCTTTCTCCCCAGTTATTTTTGCTAATTTAATTTGTTTCTAATGCAGCGCTTCTGAAACTGTAGGTCAGGACCCCAAAGTGGGTCCTGATCCTATTTTAATGGGGTCAACAGGGCTGGCTTAGACTTGCTGGTGTTCAGGCTTTATCCCGAGCCCCACAATCCTGGGCAGCGGGGCTCAGGTTATAGGCCCCCTGGCTTGGGCTGAAGCCATTTGGCTTGGGCTTTGACCCATGCCCTGCCTGGGGTGGTGGGGCTCAGCCTTTGGCCCCCCCAACCCAGAGCAGTGGGACTCAGGTGGACTCAAGCTTCAGTCCCCCCTTCCTGGGGTCGTGTGGCAATTTTTGTTGTCAGAAGGGAGTCACAATGCAATGAAGTTTCAGAACCCCTGCTCTAATGTATATTAAAAGCTGAATAAATATAAGGTTAAAATTAAGCATTTTTCATGAGTTTGCACATCAAGGCTGGATGTGGTTGCCAAAAGGCTGTTAGAAACTAAATAACAGAGGGATACCCTCAAACTGCTTGTCACAGGGTTTACTACTCATCGCTGACACACCTCCTTGTGGCTTATTTAGGGATTTGCTCTCAACCAGTCTGACACCCCCTTCTTTTGCCTCTAGCCCCTGGTCTCCCTTGGTCTTTTTGGAGTCAAGTTACATCCTCTCCAGGACTCAAGTTGCTCCCTCCTTGTGGCATGGCCCTCTTGCCAGGTCACTATAGTTTTCCCCTCCGGGACATCAAAGTTCCTCTGGACAAATAGTCTCAGGCAGTCTTCTAATCCACTGCCCTGACTGTGCTATTTCCACAGTGGCTGGTAGGGGAACACAAGCCCATGCTCTACTCCAGGTTCCAGTCCAGAGTCCCTATGCCCCAACAACCAGTCTACACACCCTCACAGCTTTCCTGGGCTCCTTTCGTTCTTCTCTAGCTCTGCCGACCCCCACCCCTTACCAGTGGAGCTTCCTCTGCTCCCTGTGACTATTCTCCCCCCCCCCCCCAAAAAAAGTTCTTGCCAGAATCTGTATTCCCAGGCCAAATCCCAGGGTTTATCCCTCTAGAACCACTCTTTGTCTCTTGCCAAATCTCCTCCTCTAGGGAGAGGCTATAGCATTCCTTTCTACCAGCCTCTCCTGCTCACCTTGCTGGCTTAATACCAGTTTAGCCTGCCCCTACCCAGCTGGGCTTCATCATCAATTAGTCTTTATCAGTCCCTGGCTCTCCTCCAGCAGCCTGTCACATGCTAAATTGACCCTTTTTACCTACTTGGAGCTTGTGTGGGGTAGTCACCCCATCACACTGTTTTATAGCCCATTCTAGGATGGTATCTTGCTTCCAAAATTTGTCAGTGAAAGATGCTGCAGGGAAACCATCCAAATACCCGTGCAAAAAGCTTTTAAGAATGTTAATTGCTGAACATGTTTAACATGCAGACCCCTTTTATTGATATTAACTGATCAACGTATTGTATGAAGCTCTTTCAATGTTTTCTGTCGATCTGAAGAAATATTGGTTTTGAAACATTTACTTACGATTCTTTCTGATGTGTTATTTATTTTAGAATATTTTCCATTTTATGTATTAATTAAATCAATGCAAACTGTAGCAGTATAAACTAATACTTTAAGAAAACTATTTCAAGAGAATAAATTTTTACACCATAATCAAAAATATTTAAAGATGAGTCACATGTATACATTTTATATAATCTCAATTTTACCAGTGTGAAGATATATTTGTAATTTCTTGCAAGTTTTACTTTTAGATCTTATTTTTGAGTTGATGTAATATCTTCTTCAAGTCGGTGGCTCTAAAGCAGTTACTTTATATGTATGATTTGTTGAAATGCTTGGCTATGTAAACAGACATTCAAAAATGTCAAAATGTGAGTTATTACACAAAGCCTCTGGTTAATGGCATATGTGTAAAAAAAAATGTAAAGATCTGGTATATCACTTTTTAGAATTTACCTTTTAAAATTGTAGTGCAATTTCCCCTCTTCATCTCTCAAATGTGAAAGCAGGATGAACACACACGTTAAAAGGAATGCTGTAATCCTCTTTATTTACTTTGTGTATTATGATGAATTTTGGTATAGTTGTATGTAGAAAAAATTAATTAAAAAATTAACAAAGGAATGTTGCTCAGACTTATAAATGAAGTGGCTCCACAGATATACATACACTACACTGTAGTGAAATGCTTTCTAGAAGTGACCACATTACATTCGATTTGTGAAAAAAGTTACATAAATATTCTAGCACCAAAATACAGAATATCTTTTGAACAAAATAATTTGTTTCTCTTAAACTAACATAGTTGAATATTCACTTACATATTCTGACAGCATCCATTTTCTGAATGAAACTGAAAAATGCATTTCCCATCTTGGAAACAATTTACCACTCAATTATTGCAATATTTTTGTAGTATTTTTGGTCCCATGATGAGAGAGAGTCAAGGTGGGTGAAGTGGTCCAATAGAAGATATTACCTCAAACACCTCACCATTAGTTAGTTATTCTAAGCGGTAGATCTCAATCTTTTTTCTTTTTTTCTTTTAAATATTTTCAGCACTTTCAGCTGCCAATATATTTTTTCTGCACTGGATCAGACATCAGGTGTCAGAGCTCATGGAAATAATACAGAAAATCAACAACAGAGGAGCAATATTCTGTTTTGAGCTGTAGCTGCTTTGAGAACCATGTCTGTAATACACCTCTTCACTGTTATCCCATCCTCTGTTTCATCCTTTCATCATCAAAAATAACATAGCTCTTTATTGTAAGCTCCTCAGGACAAGGAAAATATCTTACTATCTATTTGTGTAAATATACATATTGTGTAAATTCATAGTGATCTATACATGTTTTGAAATACCCATCCTTTGGATAATAAACAAGGGAGAAACATCATAAAACAAATCATCATAGAAGCAAACGATTTTTCCCATAGAAATTAAAGACAGACTATCAATATGGGATTAGTGTTGCATGAATATGGAGGTTTTGCATTTTTGTTTTTTAAACAGGACATGCACTGACTGCAATGAACAAATAAAACTGGGACACAGCAAACATTAAAGGGGTGCCTTTCCACTACTGCTTAACTCTTCTACCCTTCCTTTTGTAAAATAAAAACCTGTTTATTATTCTGACTTTATCTGCCTTTATTATTATTGTAATCACTCCCCCAGATATCTGTTCCTTAACGTTTCTTCTTTGTTCATATATGTTTATCTTCATCTGTTATGTTCAAAAAGTAAGTGCAGATCTTTCAGGATTGATTCTAAAATCAGATTGAATATTTAGCAATGAGCAAACCTAAAAAAAAATGGAACACATAGGTGTTTTAAAATGTGTGTGTATTTCAGGTAAATTTGTAACAAGATACCCTCCCCGTTACTACTCTTTTCTCCTCTCCCTTCCACAGCTCTCTCTCAAGTCAGTATTAAATGGCTTTTTAGCCTTTTTCCTTGAGGATGAGTTTATTGCATTTGCTATGGACTGGAGAATTGCACCTTATTTTGCCCCCCCCCGCGCTAAGTTAAATAAACATTACAATTGTAACTGGTACAAGTAGCCCAGAAAGATTACATAACAATAATTACTCTGAACTGCATAATTGCAGCTTTATATTACTGCCAATTTAGACTGCAATCTTTTCGGAAATTGCTATTACCTTCTAAAATGACAACTAAATACTACAAACCTGTTTAAATTTTCCTCTGATTTTTTCCAGATCTTCATGAAGTTTGTCATAAGTGGGGTCTTCATAAGGGTATTTCTGAATCATTCCTATTAATGATTCCAGAGCCTTTATTTTTTTACTGCAAAAAATGAAAATACAGATTTTCTTATGGTGGTTCTATTCAGCAGAAATAAGATTGTTTCAGTTGCCACATGAAGACGACACTGAGTATTTAATATTAAAGTGTTACACTTCAAAATACATGACCAATCCTGCCACCGTTTTCTCACACAATGTTCCCCATTTCGGTCAATGAGACTACCGATGTCAATCATATGCTGTATCAGTTTTTCAATACACACACTGTGTGTACTTTGTGTTAAATGCATTTGTAAATATCTTGACAAAGATTTTTCCTTAGACTCATTAGAAAATATAGTATTGGGAAATATTTATAATATGTTTCCAGACCAGTGGCTGGAGGGAACTATGAAAATGCAACGTATTATTAAACAGATTATTACTATTCTTTGTTACCAATGATGATAAATGTAAGACAGATTGCCAAAATATATTTCAAAGTTGTGTATGTGTGGTGGTGGCAGCTCTTTAAGGTACCTCTACCACCACCTGACACTAGAAAAATTATAATGACCTATGGATATATACATGGCAGAGTTTAAAAAAAAAAAAAAAAAAAATCTACTTCCCACTTGGCAGGACAGGCACTAAGAAATTCAGACTCGTGGTATCAAAAAGCTTTTGCAAGACATACTTGTGTTGCAGTAAGGAAAAAATAAAAGTAATTAAGCCATTCTCCAGGTAGGGCAAGCAGAGATTGCAGGCATTCTGGCACTACTTCTGGATCATTCATGAAATAGTACTGATGCCCTTACATCTCACTGGCTTGAGAAAATGATTCCTGACAGCTAAAGATCAGATCTAAAATGGAAATGGGAGCGTATAGTCACCGTTATTACTGACACTGAGTTCTAAAACACTCAAAGTGCAGTACAGTTGTGGCATTCATATTAGACTAACATGCAATGCATATGTCAGGTGAACAAGACAGGTGCAACTGGACATCTGCGCAAACCAAAACTAATTAGGAGAAGCTGGTCAGGGTTTTAGGTTTGACTGGGTTTGTATCAACCCAGGTCTTCAAATGCTCTGGTATTGAAAGAAATATTACTCAGTATCTTTTTATAAATTTTATTAAAATACTTTAATAGTAATAGTAACTTAGCTTTGGTGATATTTTTTAACTACACTATCAAATTAAGAAAACAAATTAGTCACAAGACTGTAATGGAATTAAATAATTAAATTAATACTAAATAATTCTTAAAACCCAAGGAGGAGTCTAAAGAAGTACCTGTCATTATAGATGACACTCAAGTCTCTCAGGACTTTTAGACAGACACAGAACACACTTTAATGAATAATTTTTTGAGACAATATATAAGGCTGCTTAAACCTGGGGAACTTTTCTTTCAGGCACCTTCGCTGTGTGGACTTTATGGGTGCTCTCATACAAATGTGAATGCACACAGCCACACATTTACCGTAGTTTTTTATTTTCTGGGTGTGAAAGTGTCTCCCAGCGAATAAAAATAAAAGACAAACAAACAAGATAGGTAAGAGAGGGGATGCACACTCTTCAGCTCTTAGTCTTCTTGTCTCTTCTAAAATAGGCTCTGGAACTGCAGTAAAGGAGATGGTGATGTTTTGCTGGCACAGAGCTTCTCACTAAAAGGTCTCCTTCTAGTGCAGGGAGAGACTCGTCAAAGGCTGGAGCAGCCTGGCTGTTGATGTTGTGACTTCCTCTCTCCAAGGTGATCAGTCTGGGAGATTCTGGAAGATCAGTCTTTCTGCAGATGGCTTGTTGACCTGAAAGCTTCTCAGACTTTCATTTCACAGACTCATAGAATATTAGGGTTGGAAGAGACCTCAGGAGGTCATCTAGTCCAATCCCCTGCTCCAAGCAGGATCAACACCAACTAAATCATCCCAGCCAGGGCTTTGACAAGCCAGGCCTTAAAAACCTCTACAGATAGAGATTCCACCACCTCCCTAGGTAACCCGTTCCAGTCCTTCACCACCCTCCTAGTGAAATAGTGTTTCCTAATATCCAACCTAGACCTCCCCCACTGCAACTTGAAACCATTGCTTCTTGTTCTGTCATCTGCCACCACTGAGAACAGCCTAGCTCTATCCTCTTTGGAACCCCCCTTCAGATAGTTGAAGGCTGCTATCAAATCCCCCCTCACTCTTCTCTTCTGCAGACTAAATAACCCCAGTTCCCTCAGCCTCTCCTCCTAAGTCATGTGCCCCAGAGCCCCCTGATCATTTTCGTTGCCCTCCAATCATTTTGATTGTATTGGTTTGGAAACTTTGCTTTGCTCTGCCTTGCAATGCCTTCCTCCAAGGTCTTCAGACAAATCAGGTGCAAGACCTAACTTGGAGCCATGAAACTTGGCCCAATCAGGTTCAAATTAGGTCACACTTAGCAAGTATCACTTTGGAAAAGTCCTATACAAAACACAGAATATTTTTAATTACACAGAGAGACTAAGTCTGTGACCACTCTTCCCAATACTGCCCCCCCGCCAAATAAATATAAATAATCCAAATACATGAGACCACTTTAGAGGAAGCTAGCATGGTCTTATGTGAGAGCAAGGTCTTAAGATGACATTATGTCACCAGTTTACAAAAAGTTCAATATAAAAATCCTATTAAAAACAGCACCCTTGAAACAGCCAGTTTAGCAAACATTTAGCAAAATTACAAATAAGTTCAAACTTATGATCACTTTCAACATCTCCATTTCTTCAACAAGGCAATTTCAATACCTTCCTGTTCTGAAACTGGTATATAGCTCAAACAACTATCTTCTGGAATCTTCATCTTGATAAGGTTTAAAGTAACTTTTCTCTATCAAGAGAAAACCCATTTGAAATATTACACTTTAAGTTCTATACAAGGTCTGCATTTCCACATAAGCTATTCCCCTCACACATACTTAAGGTAAAAATCAGTTATGATCACAGCTGATACCTAATTTAATGTCAGCCCTGATCAAGAATTATACCTAGTATTTGAACAAATATTGAATGTTACAGTTTACTGAGCTAACTGGGTAACACACAATGGACAGTGGAAAATCCATATTCCTGTTGTGTTCACTTCATTAGCTGTCTACATGAATGTGAACTGAATTTAAAATTATCTCTAAGAGCTGGTCTACACCAAAAACTTACAACAATGTAGCCACAATGTAGCTATGCCAACTTAATCCCAGGTGTAGACGATGCTAGATCAAAAGAAGAATTCTTCTGTTGACCTACCTACTGCCTCTCAGAGATGGAGAACCCCTTCAGTTGCTGTAATGTCTAAACTGGCGTTTTAAGTGTAAACATAGCCCAAGGCTCTTCACTGAGGGATTCTTAAATATCCCTTTACACCATCCCACTCTCTTAGGTCTAAAGTGTAGGTTATCTGGAATATGAAAATTGTCTGTATTTTGGCACCTGTTGCTCCAGGACTGGAATATTCCTTCCCCACCACACATACTTTATGACAAGACGACAACAGAAGTGGCTTCTTTTAAAGCAAGTTTAAAAACATTTACATTTAAGAAAGCCTTTGAAGCAACACTGATTTTACTTATGATTTTACATAGGTTTTAATTGTTTATATCTTGTATATTTGTAGTACTTAATTTGTTTTCAGTTGTTGTATTGCAAAGTCTGTGATACATTGTTAGACAGGCCTTACATGAATACAATCATATACAAGACTTGGGATGAAAGACACCATATAAATGGAAATTTATAAAAATCTATCAGGCCTGTCAATCCTGTCATATTAAGAGGACCTGAATATCTAAGACTGCTGGCTAAATACACCTAGATGTATAGAACTTACATGGTTCATGGATGGCACAATTAGCAGATCCAAATCATGGACCTCACCAGATTCGTCATTTACTAAAAGGAAGCCTTGGGTGGGCTAACACAACAGACTCCTTTCCTGAGAACCAAGATTTCAGCTCTGCATTCCTCCTGCCACTGAAATTATGAATGCTGCAGAAGAACAGGCAATAGTAAACACAGGCAGGAAGGGATTCGGCCATTCCTCTGTGGCCCCACACAGATCGTAGCAGTGGCATATTGCCCCACAGCTGGGCAGAGAATTCTCCCAGTGCAAGCATGGTGTAGGAGAGCAGTAAGATATCCTATTCGGACCCCCATCACAACCTCAGTGTAGGGAGTGTGCCAGGGCTGAAGGAAGATGCTGCATAGACTCTGACCCTCAATCTTTAGCAGTAAGAACTCGGTACACTCTCAACTAGTAGTTTCACTCAAAAGGTAATATCTACAGTTATATCAATAATTTATATTTTTCTCAGCATCATAGCTGTGAAGAGGGCATCCTTGCATGTATGATACTGTCATGGTTTCTACTTTACTTCATTTAAAAAAAACACTCTGCCTGCGGTTGGCAAATTTGATTCTTGTAATGCGAAAAAAAAAAAAAATATCGGTTGTTCCTCCTGTATATTTCTTAAAGAAATAACGAGCTTTACTAGGGCACCTATAAAAATATTTTAGCCTCCCCTTAGAGAAAAGAAACTATTAAATTCAGGGCAATCAATATTAATAAATACTATTTTTTTAAACCATACCTGGGCTTTTCTTCTGCAGATCTGTGAAGCAGACGCTGCCATGTCAATGCAAACCCAAGATAGTATCCAATCTGTGAATTTATAAGAATTCAATAAAAAAAATTCCCCTTTATCTGTATTCATTTAAACAATAAGTTAATATATTCTAGCTAATCACTAGTACATGACAAACTAAAATAGAAACATCTTGCTATGCTACTTCTAAAATCTGTTTTGCATCAGAGTGTGCTGAACCTCTTCAATTTAAACTGCAATGGAAAGTGCAGTTTTGCAAAACACCCCACCATATTTCATCTGCTTTGTTCCCTCAGAAATGTGTAACTCTATTACCACACGTCTGAGTCATAATTACAAATCCAGCTTCATGGGGGGAGAGGGGAAGAGAAATGATGGCACTGAACTTAAGACACCTAGGAGATAAGATAATGGGTAACATTTTCAAAAGCATGCATTTTCTAACGTGATTTAGACATTTAGGAGCCTATGTCCCACTGACTTTCAATGAGACCTAGGGTCCTAAGTGCCTAAGCCACTTGAGTGTTTTTGAAAATTTTACTCCCTATAAATACCTGAGAGAGAAATTTGGCAGGATTATCTGTATCTAGCATCTTTTAAAATGGTTGAGCAAGTTCTGAGAGCTTTTGCATGGCCACAATTGTCTTGACTAACACTCCTTTGGTAGTCCTTTTTGGTCCTCTGAGGCAAGCCCATAACATGAAATCAGAAAGTTCTGCAGCCAACACTGAAAGATCAGATTCTTAGCGTAGTTAACTGTTTATTATATTGAAAGAGATGGCTGCCACTTTCAGTTTCATAACAGTTTTCATTCTAATGCCCAGTTTTCTGTCACTCAATTTTCTGAAACCCCAATCTTCAAAGCTGAATAATTCCTGAAAGTGAATTTGAGCAAAAATGGTTAAAGCTTTCTTTTAATTATGAAAAAAAAAAGGGGCGGGGAGGAATACATACAATTATAAAATAATTACTGCAATTTTTTTTGGTAAACATTCTACACCTAACATAGTGAGAGGGAGAAAGCTGAAAATTGGGGTGGATCCTTCACTGAGCTCACGTGAGGGTAACAGTTGTTTTTTATTTGATTGAGTTATTCTCTTCCACAAAATGTATGTCCCAATCTTGCACAGAAATCCACCTGATCTCAATGAGACTGTGCAAGCAGATTGGGACCTTTAACTGCAGAGACAAGGTAGGCTGTACAGTAATCTGGTTAAATTAACATTACAGTAAAAACTGTGCTAAAAGTGAAAAACAAGTAGAAAGGGCTGTTCACTTTTTTTAAGATATGCAGGAGGGAACCTAGATCCTGCACAGCTCCTGGGATGCACAGGAGTGGGTTTCTTTTCTTCTCTATTAAGATGCATAGAATATGATGCCCGGGTGGCATCTAGCTAAACTGCTCCAGATTATGGAAGTTACATCCTCTTATTGCCAATATGTACAAGCCAGAAGAGTTTTAATGTTGAGAGTAAAGATCCTTTTTATGTTTTTATTTTTCTCTTTTTCTCATAAAACAAAAACAAACAAAATCAATACAAAAATATATTGAGAATGTTAAAGCTTCGTGTTTAGGCATTCATGTGACAAAATACCTCCTTTAAGTGAGTTTCGCTGACGTTGCCTGAAATACAGAGTAGTGCATAATAGTACAAGACACGACTTAGTATATCTAAGGTTGAAGGAAAAAATGTGAAATTGTTTTATTTGAGAAACAGGATGCTATTATGTAATTAAAGACTGCACAACACACATGCACGTACAACCTCAACTGTTGCATCTTATGGAATTTCAAGTGCTTAACCAAGCAATGTTGATGTTTTCTTAATATAGCTTTTTGTATGGGATTAAATGGTAGATTCAGAACAGTTTACAAATCAGTTTTTTGTGTGTTCCTGGAATGAAGGCCATGGAGCAATACAAGATTTAGGTCACCCATCATGCTCTGCTCAGGCACTACTTCAGTACAACACCATCTAATCTCAGCAACACATTGATTTTTAGGAAGTTTCGACATTTACCTCAGACCCAATCTTGGCACCATGTAGTGCTCCATACCTCCTTCCCTCAATAACACCAACATGACTTCCTTCAACATAACCTTCTTGATACCCTTCACCATGAAATCTGTAAAGGGAGAAATAGATATGGTTTTATTAGGATTATTTTTTTTATATCAGCAAAGGCATAATGCAGAAATACTAGGCCATACAAATACTGAATATTTTATTATTTTTACTGAAATATTGCCTTCATAATTCCAACAGATTTCAAAGCAATTTCAGACTGCTTATTCGCGAGACAAAGTGGAGTAACAATTACACCACCCTATCTGCTATAAAGTGGTATTAGAGAGACAATGTGGGTGAGGTAATACTTACTGGACCAACTTGTTGATGAGAGAGTTGTTGTTTAATATATTAGATTAAAGAATACAATTTAAAGATGACAAAAGTTCTGTTAGACCATCCAGCTCTGGCTCAAATGCTTTGTTTCTCTCACCAACAGAAGTTGGTCCAATAAAATATATTACCTCACCCACCTTGTCTCGTTCATATCCTGGGACTGACATGACTACCACTACACCGCATACAGTAGTATTCTGCAATATTTGATGTCTTGGTTAAGGTAGAAAGGCTGGGAAAGGGAAAGAAAAATCTAAAGGGGAGACTCTCAGAAATTAGTGTTAAAAGAAAGCATTCAGATATGTAACATAGATGGTGGTAGATATCTTGTCTGCAATACTGGAGGCCAAAGTTTAAATCCCAAAGAGTGCAGCACTCTCTCTTTCCAGCCAGCATTTGCAAAGAAACGAACATAGAATCTTAATGTCTATGATTCTTTAGCCTAACATATTAAAAAAACAAACTCCCCTGCTTTGGTAAGGTAGGTGACAGGGCAACACAGTAAGACAAATGTCTTCCTTACAGCACCTTCCCAATGGGGCGAGCGCTAGGAAATCTCGGCACAGCCGGGGGCAGTCCCTGCGCACGCAGGCGCTGCTTTTCACAGCTGTGCTTAACACGGTTTGCCAGAGCCCCGCGGCAGGCAAGTAGGCTCCTAGCTCGGGGCCGCCTCCAGCTTTGAACGCCAAGGGCTGGCGGCTCTCACGCACCTCCCCAGCCTCGGGCTCCGCCGCCTTTCCAGGCCTTTGTTATTTATCCACCTTGCACCAGCCGCAGCCCCGCGCGCAGCCCGACCTCAGCAGCGGGAGGGAGGAGCTGAGGTTGCGGCGGAACGGTACCGTAACGACACACTACTACCGGCTTCCGTACTGCGGCCGCGTCACGCGAACGGGGCTCGCGCTCCGGCTCGGAGGGGAGGGGCGCGCCCCGCCTGTAGCCGCAGCGGTCTAAGTTCGCTCCCCTCCGGGGCAGGGAGGGCTGTTCTCTCTCCCCTCCCCCGCCCCGGTACCTTAGGGGGGAGAGACCCGGCCCCGGGCAGGGCTCCCCTCTGCCAGCCCCACCTCTCCTCGGCCATCACGATAGCGTCGAACATATCCGAAGCGCTGGCAGCCGCCTCCATAGCGCGACGAATCTCCCCGAACTCCCGGCCGGACGCGCAGGCTCCACTCAGGGCATGCTGGGAAGGGACGGCGAGCCGGAGGGCTCAGGGCCGAGGCGCTTCTAGTGCGCAGGCTCGAGGGGGGGACAAGGAAGGAGCGTCCCTCGCTGGCCTGTCCCCATCCGCGCCGCCGCGGCTAGTGGGCGGGGCTTCCTCTCGCTCTGCCCGCCCCGCGAAGCCCCCGCAGGCCGCCTCCCATGGAAACAGCCCCCTCGTGTCGCTCGCGCTGCCGCCCCCCCGTAGGGGCCCCGAGCCCGTCGAGATCCCCGGTCCGCCGGGCAGCGCAGCCCCACGCCTCGGCCTGTCCCTGGCGCGGCAGAAGGGGCTGGGGGCAGCTCACATGGTTCGGGCCCCGGGCTGGGACCCAGGAGATCCGAGTCTTTGCTCTGAGGCAGGCTCCCGCAGCGATCGCCTCGTGCTTCCCTTCCCATGTCTGTGGCTTGGGTGTTTCAGCCCGAGGGCTCGGCCTGGTTGGCAGGGCTGTGGTAGCCGGGAGCGTCTTCCTCTGTGCGTGTGCAATACCCTGGGGCTACTTGGGGCCTCTAGGCGCCGCTGTAATACAAATAAATCCTAGTACAGCTTATCACAACTGCTGGATCTCCCTTCGTTGCTTCTGTGCCTGCACAAAGAGAACGGAAACACTTTCATCTTCTGAGGATTATTCTGTTGTGTGACGCATCCAGCTCCTCGCCCACCCCCCCTTTTACTGCACAGCCCTGTAAACACCAGAAACAGCCCTGTAAACAACAGGCCAGAAAATTGTTCTTGCAATTCACATTTGATTAGATGGCCTCTTAGGGACCATTATCAGGTGGCATACTTTTAGAGCAGCCCCCCCCCGTGCCCAGTGCAGAAATGGCCAGCTAATCAGGGTGCTAACAATCCCCATCTGTACTGTACCTCAGTCTTGATTACATTTAATTGCATTTGCCATTAGTTTAAAATTTAAACTAATGGCAAATGCAATTATCCTTGGGAGTCAGAACACATCATCACTAATATTATAATTAACAGAGTTGGCACATAATCGTCTTGCCTATTGTGTTAATGTCTTGTATCTTTTGCTTAGGCATGCACTATTTTATCTTTCCTGTATATTGGAAGTGAGTTTGTTTGAATTTGGCTGTTGTCACTGCAGTATTTGCATTTGACTATTGTTACTCAATTTCTTAACATTAAAAAATAAACTAACAAGACAACCATCTCTACTTTGACAAATGGAACTCCAATTGCTGCAAAGGCAGGAAAATGTAGCTTAGTTGACAAGAGATAAAAGATGGGGGAAAGTGAATGAATGGCAAAGGAAGAAGTTCACCTGTTAAAGGAATCAGTGGACACTGGGTGGCACAATAAACACAGAAATACCTATCTGCACATTTCTTTTCTGTTCTCTATCAGTTTTGTGGTTAACCAGTAGAGGGGGCACGGGTGCTTTCCATTTATATACATAAAAATATAAAGCAATAGCACAAATTAATAAAGAAACAAGATTAAAAAGACAAAAGCAATAAACACGACAATCACATTCAGATTATAAAAAGGGGCCATACATCAATTGTGACATTGGTAGTTAACCCTAGGCTGTTTTATTTATATTTTATCTATTTTTTGTTTTGTATAAACTGCATCCAGAAATTAAAAACCAAAAATATTCAGATTTCCAGCTGTGAGAAATTTTTGTAATGAAACCCCAAACCAGTCATTACAAATCTGAAATTTAGTCCAGATGGGTTTACATTAGCATTTGGTATTTTGTTGCATGTTTTTAACGAAAACTCTGATATCTTGCATCAATAGGCAATAGTTTGATTACTATTTTGAACTGGTTGAAAAATTGCCATCACAATGAAAAAAATCAGACAAAAATGGTCATGAACATTTTTTTTTGTTTTTCAGCTAGGAAGGAGATGAGTTACGGATATATGGTTACATGAGAAGTCATCTAAATTTTGTGTTCTAAAGTGAAGTTGAGAGTATTTCTGAGTGAACGTGGGTTTATTTATAGTTGCCAGTTGAATACATACAAGACTCACAGAAACCAACACTGAATAAAAGATTTATCTGAACCCCTACAAACCAAGTCTTCATCCCTGCAGTCAGATTCACATGGGCAGATCTTCATGCCTACATGAAGCCAGCTTGAGTGACATCACCTTGGTATAAGGATCTTCCCATGTAGATCAATTTGCAGGATTGGACCTGATTAGGGGCTCCTGGCTGCTCAATAGCACGCTCTGCTAGTCAGGCATTACATTGCCACCACTCCCTGCCTCAGTTTCCTTCCCCAGGGTGGAACTCCTTATCTCTCCACACACTGCTCTGTGCTGGAAACGACTTAACCCTTTCCAGGGTAGCAAAAGACGAAGTAAAAAGTCCCAGTAAACAAAGTTCTTCTGCCCTTTGGGGGGTTATCTTCAACCCATCCTCTGGGCCCTGTTCCCAGCCCCTTCCTGAGCTACTTTGAGAGTCACTTTGGGATAGAGCGCAAGCTGGTTCCCTTGGCATACCAATCTCAGGGGCTTCCATCAAAACCTACCCACTCCCTGTGATTCTACTCTCAGACTGAGTTCTCTCAGCCCTTGTGCAAGGCCCAAATGTTCATTAAACTATCATCTGATTCGCCTTAATCCTGCCCCCTCAATCTGGAAGTGCAGCTAATTAGTTATGCCACAGGTGGGCTGGCTGCCCCATCTCCCCTTAATGGGGCTGATCACCCTATGACAGCCCTCCCCCCAGAAAAAAATAGCTCAGTTTTGCATAATTATATTTGTGAGTTAACTGGACAGTTTCACAGTTGATCTTGCACTTTTGGCTTTTTACACTGATGTAATGCTGTGTTGAATCATGCCACTAGTGTTCTTTTAATGACCATATATAGGCTTATGCTATATCTCATTTTTGACACTAAAAAATCTATAATTTTTTTATTTTTAATGTATAAAGCTAGACCAAGATGTATCAGGAATGTAATATTCTTTATAACAAACTCACAGAGTATTGCTTTTATCTCCTTTCAGCTTGACTACTGTAACTCCTCCTTTATGACTCTCTCAAGTTCGGTTTGCCAGAAATATGGACGCTGCAATCCATCTCCTTGCATGAAGTTGGTAGAACCTCACATCCATTATCAGAAATCTTCATTGGCAGGCTGCCCATATTGGAGTCCAAAATAACATTTCCATCTTCTCTATCTTCCATGGAATACTGTCTTCCACTTCATATCTCTCTGATTTCACCTATTTCTGTTCTGCAACCCGTTCCCTAATACTTTGCAAACATGAGATTTCTTCCTACAGGCTCCATGTGGTATTATTTTAAAGTTTCCATTACTAAGGCTCCATTTTCCCTGTCCCTTAGCTAGCTGGGATGCAGAGAGTGGTGTTAATATCATCCCTTCGGCAGAGCTACTATCGCAGTAGAATTCTATTTGTTGGTTGTCCTACACAGTGAAAATAATTCTATGCTCATAATTGATGTAAACAGAATTTGATAATAGTTGAACTTGATAGCCTATCAGGTCTCTTCCAACCCAGACTTTTGTGATGCTCCTTTTGATGATCAAGCAAAAAATAATACAAAAACACTAATCAAACATCTAGCAGCTCCCATCTCAAGCTAGGTGATAATAATAAATATTGAGCAAGGAACATTGAAAATTAATCTTTATCTAAAACATATTTAATATAAAGCTACTGAAAAAATGAGAGCTGATCTGTTGGATCTGGTGAGATCTTGTAGTTGTATTGAAAAGGATCAGAAGAATCTCTTTGAGGTAGTATCAGACATGATTAAAGACATGGAAGCATTCAGAGGAGTCTTGTACATTCCGAAATTTAAAAGATTAAGTTTCTTTAGGGCCGAATAATCCTCAGCCCCTAAGCAAATGTTTGAGGTCAGGAAAGGGGAGAAGTCAAAATAAGCCTCATCTTACCATGCTCCCCTGTTCAAAGACTAGGGACAATTGCTGTCCCTTCACTCTGAAGCTCAGAATCTGCTCCCTCTGTATGTCCCCAAGCGTGCATAGTGTCCCAAAATGGGCAGGGAAGAGGTGGAACAATGGCACCACCCCACCAGTCAGCTGAACAGGACCCCTGGACAAGTACATTGCACCACTCAAAGGAAAGGATGTACAACCTCTGGACCACAATCTCTTTCTCAGCTCTGCAAGGGGTGAAGCACCCTGGCTCCTCCTCCAGTACAGGCCTTTGTGTAAATCAGCCAGTCTGGCTCCTGGTCATTAAAAGAGAATCATAGCAGTGACATCATACAGGTGTACACAATTATGAATAAAGGAGCTCAGTCAAGTGCTGCTGTTTACTTTTTCCCATATGACAAGAGGCCACTCAAGGAAGTTAAGATAATACATTTAATATGGATAAAAGGTAATGATTTTTTACACAACAAAAATTGTACAACTCACTGTCAGAGGCAACAATTGAACCTCCTCAATGGTTTTGATTCACAGCAGTGTTAGATATTTAAAGAATAGAAAAGAAGCTTTGTTACTCTACTCAGGATGAAAATTGGAAGGTCTGTCAATCTTCATGCTCAAAGGAATAAACTAGGGTAAAGAAAAAATAGCACTCATAACTCATAAACATGTAGGAATTTAGGATCTCTGCTCTGGAGCACACTGGTCCATCTAGCCTAATTTTATTTGGCCTATGCTGCACATATCAAAGGAAGGCAAACCTTCCTTAGTATTGCACAAAGTCCAGAAGAAATGTCTCCTGTGCTCCAGTATTGTATAAGGTCAGAAAGAAATTTTCCCTTTGGTACAATATTTCATAAACTCTGGAAGATGTTTTTCCCATGCTATAGTATTGCATGATTGTCAAGGTCCATGATGCAACGTAGCACCTTCCTTTGAAGTATCCAGCGTAAACCACATGATGCTGGACTAGATGGACGAGTCTGTTCCAATGTGATGATATCTATATTTCTATGTGACTATCTGAGTTGGTTGTCCCTGTATTGATTATAAATGAAACAGACTTCAGCACACTTAGATAAAAGCAATTAATTTAATCATTTACAACTGAATTATGAACTACTGCTTTTTGTAGCGGTCATGAA